TTATAAAATTCCTATTTGTAATTCAATCAATCAATTACAAAATAATTCAAATAATAACCTTTATTTGAATAGAACTTTAAAACAGTAAATAACAAGTAACATCAGTGACTTTGTCACTGTCATAAAGCATTCATCTAGTATTAGTACTAATATTAGTATTAGGTATTATCAATATCCAACGCTACCGCTGTAGATTTCATCAAATTGAAAGTTACAAATCAAGCATATATTTATATACACCCTAAATATATAATAATAAATATATCCTGAATCTCACTGCCCTGCAGGGTAAGCACCTGGTATAAACCGGTTCATGATGTATCAATAAAATCATACCCACTGGTCTATACACAATGAAGTATGACGAAACTTTTGACTTTAGTCATCGACGTAACTAAAGTATTGGTTGATTAAAGGTAGTTCACCAGGGCATTTTGACGATTTGGCTAGAGTAAAAACCCTTGACGCAAGTAAAAACACTTGATGTAAGTAAAAACACTTGATGCAAGTAAAGTCATTTGGTTAAATTATTATGAAACAACTTATTAAAAAATAAAAAAAGCCACTTCTTTTTTACAAACTAGTGGTTATCATCAATATAGATATCAAAATTGAGAATTCCAATCTCAGCATTTAGGAAAATTTGTATTATTGATTTTTGCAAACTCTAAATTTTCAAATTTGTTTGTTGAAATAAACCAAAGGTTTTGGCTATTTTTTCTCTTTTTGGTCCAACCTCTTTTAATGCTTCCAGTGATGGCATCTGTTTTACCTTTCCAAGTACCACCAATAATAATTAGCTCACTAATTAAGTCTTATTTAATTTCTTTAATGCTTTCAGGAATCCTAATTTTCAATAATTGAATTCAGCAAAAGGTCCACTAGCAACCTCTTGAGTTTTGACAACACACACCACGTTTGATGCCCAAGTATTGGAAGTCTTTCCACCTTCATAACATTGAGTTGTATTCAATACAGCAGTACCATATCTTTTCACCACATCTATAACATGATCCACACAAACTACACTTGTTTTTCTACAGAGTTTTTAATTACTCTAAAGTTACCATCAAGATGAAATAAATTAACAATATTTTTAGTAATGTTATAAATTTTAACAATACAACAGATATAAGTCATACGTAGCACGAAGTATAAAAATGGAAAGATCTGTGAATCTAAAAATTCAAAAAAACCAAATTATTCATCAAAATCATCAAAATCATCATATACATCCCAATATTCATTCTCAATTTCACTTTCATCATTCCATTTTCATTTCCTCAATCAATATTTACATCTCAAATTATATTATGATTTGTGGCCTTGTCATTCAAAATTTGAATATATGTAAATTAACTTAAACTCTATCATCAGGTAGCCTATGAACAAAGCCAAAATGGCTCCAATTTCTTTCTGCTGCTGCTAACAAAGCAGGAATTGACATAAGTTTAGCAGCAAGTTCAGAAAGCACTGGCATCTCATTTTTTTAAAGCAGACCACTACATAGTAGGATCCTTTATGGTTTCATCTGACCATAATACATTTAAGCACACCTGATTTGCTTTGGTATTCCAGCATTTAAAGGTGGGTGTGAGAAGAAAATTTTTTTGTAAAAAATTATATTACAATTAATATGCTATATATATTGATCATTTGTTATAATCTGTTATAAAAACCATAAATGTTATAATATAACATTCACATCTCTACTTGATACCATAAGAAAAAAGATTTATTTGGTTGTTTATTTATTAAATTATAAGTGCGATATAATGCTATAACAGCAGTTATTAGAATTTAAAAGTAACAACCTAATCAAAGAATATCTCAAATATCTCAAAATATAAATTCTGGTCATTATTTCCTTCAAAGGATGACAATTAATTAATAAAGCTATTTTTCACACAGGAAAAAAAGGGAAATAATATTACAAGTTAGAAGGGAAATGGATAATTAATGAATGTAGATCGTATATTCTAACTAGATAACTCCAACTCTTAATTCCCTGACTAAAGATTTCTCTTTTACTTCAAATTTAAAAATGATGTAAATTAAATTATCTAATCATCATCATAGGAAAATCGATGATATACTTGGTCACGAGCCTTGTCACAGTGACACAGTAATAATTGCTACAATAATAATAATAATAGTAAGAAATTATGGTGTTAATCGTATCATATCATATGGAATAAAAGATAATAATAGGTCTTTGGCTAAAAATTTTTTAAAGATTTGTAATTTTAATTTGATGGATTGATTTTTAAGGAATATATTTCCTGAAATTTGAT